GTGATCACGTTGTCGATGCGGCGCTTAGGGGCCTTCAGCACCTCGCCCACAACTTCCTCCCGACTCCTCTCCAGGTCTGCCAGTCCTAGCCCCGACGACGGGCCCTCTATCTCTGATTCAATACCCAAGGCCGCGGGTCTTGATGAACGGGAAGTTTGCTGTCGCTGATACGCTGCTGGCAGGCACATGGTATAGATGCGGGGCAAATCTTTTCGAGGAATGACCTTGGACAGATTCCAGCACAAGGAGCCATAAGCTCGAGCAAAGTCGTGGATTTTTCTAAATTGATCAGCTTTATTCAGTACGATGTAGAGCTTGTGGTCCATACCCGCCAAAGACTGGGTCAGGATGGACAGCGTTTCCCCTGTAGTCCCCGGTTTATCAGGGTCGAAAAGAGAAGAATCACGTCGGCGCGGTCAGCGAACCACCTGCAGACGCCTTGAAAGTCGTAGCCGCGATCCAAGTGATTTCTGGCAGAACGCGTATTATCTCCCTTGTCTGAGGCGCTGATGAGCGAGGAGGGGCTCGGCTGGCTTGCGGAGGCATGTGGGCTGTCGATCATTCCCGGTGAATCCACGAGCATGAATTCGGTTGTCGCCAAGCCCGCGCGGATCTTGAGCTGAGTGTGATGGATCAGGTCGGGCCCAAAGTGGCGAAGGCCTGCAAAGCCCATGTCGGGGTCGCCGATGGTCGAAGGGCCGTCCTGATCGATATCCGTGGGTCCGGGAGCGATGATGGTGAAGCTGTCATCTGTCGGTGCGACACCTGCTGTCTGGATGGGCCTATTACACACATAATTGACGAAAGAACTCTTGCCACTACTATGATTGCCCAGCAAAAATACGAACGGAAGCAAAGGTGCCTTGTCGCTACATTTTTCCAGAGGCCCTCGCAAACGGTCATTGATGGGCTGAAGATAGCTTTGCAACTCGTCACAACGCTGCAAGACGCGGCGCTGACTGTCCAATTTTATAGTACCGCTGTGAGTAGTGTTGCCGTCATCAGTGCTGAGACTGCGCTCTAATGGGAGACGGCGAACAAAACGGAGCAATGTCAACAGAGAGGGCTTGGGGGAGCCGGACCGCAGGAGCAATCTCTGTCGACCGGCGAGATGGCAATGCACCAGCATCTTCTTTAGCACTGTGACATTGTGAGTTTCGACTCCGTAAGTGCACGAAGATGATTCTACAAATAATAAAAAAACCTTAAAATACATTGTGCTTGATCCTCCTGGCTTTCCTCGCTACCCGAAAGGCGCACCCGGCTCGAGGAACATAGAAACAGGGCGGATCACGCCAATGCTCCCCTCTACCCTCCGCCCCCCTTTGTCTACCTTGCCTTTCTGCCGTCCCTCCTCTCGGACTTTCGACGTCAGGCATGCATGCAAGCCCACCCCTGCCTTCACCTCTTCCCGCCCGTGATGCCCTTTATCTCCACCTCCTCCTTCGGGTCCCAGGCCTCGCCAAGGAAAGGGCAACTCGCCGACGCCGTGGGCCCGCCCGGGACCCCGTGCAACTGTATGGCAGATTTTGCCTTGCCTCCCGCATGCGAAGTGGAAGGCACAGCGCTTGCTTGGGGGAGGGACTGGTGTGCGTTACATTGTGTGTGTGAATTCCGCGGAAGGGACAGCTCTTACCAACGTGGTCAATCGTGTCTTCGGAGGCTTCCCCCAAAATTGACGTGACATCTCAACAACCATATGAAACAGAAACCTCGCCTTTGCCGTCTTTGCTCCTCACCAGGCAAGCACTTTTCTATCTACCAACGATTCAAGCAAAGCAAAAAGGGTTACAAGATGACAACGTCAATCGGTAGGCTTTGAAGTAGTCTTTGGGACGTCCAAACTCCTGACAACATCTCGACTCCTAACGTGGCATTCCTAGTGGCCTAGTGGTGCTCTTTCCGTTCGTATAATTGAATGCTTTCAGGCAATCGTGCGCGTTATTCAAGTAAAGACGTAATGTAGCTTGCCTGAATTTTCGAAGCTACTATTCTTCGTCGCGTCTTGTATACACTTGTCCGGTAGCACCCCGACCCCAACTTATCACGGAATTGCTTGGCCCCACTCTGTGTTTCTCCAGGTCCCCTATTTTCCGCTTTGCCTTGCCGCTTACCGCTCCTTTTCATTGCATCGTAACACCAATGTCGGCGATCGATTGGTCGTACCATGTTGCTCATGTTACACAACACCTTCCGATAGGCATGATGGACGCAGGTTACTTCGTGGGCCGCAAGGAAATTGTTGACTGGATAAATGAAACATTGCAGCTGAATCTCACCAAAGTTGAGCAGACAGCTTCAGGTGCTGTGGCCTGCCAGCTACTAGACCGCATCTATCCGGGAAAGGTGCCTTTGAATAAAGTTAATTGGGAAGCCAAGTTGGACTACGAGTTCCTTAGTAACTATAAGCTTCTCCAAACTGCATTCACCAAGCTTCAAATTGACAAGCATTTGCCAGTTGAGAAATTGGTGCGTGCTAAATACCAGGATAATTTAGAATTTATGCAATGGTTCAAGCGGTTCTATGAGCTCAACAATCCCGCCCTCGACTACGACCCCGTGGTTGCCCGCGCCGGAGGCAAAGGCGCCGGAGGACCTGCCCGCACCATACCTCCTGCGGCTGCTCCCTTCTGCTCAAGCACGCGGACGGGAAATATGCCAAGCAATTCTCTTAAAAGCCGACCTTCATCTCGAAGCATTGGTAGCAGCACTGGCAGCTCCTCGGGCAATGGTGGCGCCCGCGACAAGGAAAACAGCGGCGGGGCGATTGCTACATCGTCGAGTCATGGCGGGAGAAATGTCACGACGGCAGCCGCCGCAACTGTGGCGGACGAGGCGCTACTGCGAAAAGCGGAGAACTTGGCGCAGGAGAACACGACGTTGCAGGCGACCATCGAGGGCCTGGAAAAGGAGCGAGACTTTTACTTCGAGAAACTGACAGTAGTGGAGGAAATGCTGCAGGAACGGCAAGCAGCAGCGGATGAGAATTTCTCGCAGGAGGCGTCTCTTCTGATCGAAGAGATCTTTAAGGTCCTATATGCGACGGAAAACGCCACAGGCCTTAGCGACTGCGATGAGCCGTGTTCGGAAGCAGCGGCGGCTGTCGAGGCACCGACAGCTGTAGTTTGAGTTTAAAAGGTGCTGCCGAGAAGCGGAGACCACAAGGCCTGCTGGCTCACACCACGCTGGTATTTAGGGAAGACATAAGCGTGGAGGCATGACGTGAAATTAGTGACGTGGTCACGACTAGGTCGGCATTAAAAAGGTGGGAGAGATTAAACATATATCGAACGAAGGACACCGAAGAATACGAGAAAAGGAAGATGGGGACGGGTTGAAATGAAGAATTTTTCTTTCGTGCTGAGCGGAAAAGGCAAAGAAGCCATGAGTCTGAGTTCCAGCGCATTGTCTGCCATTTGTAAGTGACTACTCCCATAATCCCCTATCAAAGCTTGAAGAAAGCTCTTGATTTTAGAGGAGACCCATGCTCCATTGTTAGAAGAGAAATACAGCGTTGGACGTCCACTACCATGGTTCACCAAATCAAAAATTCCCTGCACATTTCCTGGCCCCCTGCGACTACAGCCATGTGCTCGACAGAAGAAGACTCTTTGGTCTGTTTAATCTATTTTCCAGTGTTATCAGCGACCTCATTCGTACACGGGGCCCTCGTACGTGCAGGGCTGGACCGCATCGGTCCCCTCGGGCACGAAGCCCACAGACACTGAGTTTACGCAGTGCCTCTCATCCGGAGGCGGATTTCCGAAGCCTTCGTTGCGGAAAACGTGCCCAAGGTGCCCGTCGCACTCTGAACACAGGATCTCGCACCGAAAGCCGTCCGCGTCTCGCTGCTCGTAGACGGCGTCTTTGATGTTCGTCCAGAAACCAGGCCAGCCGCACCCGCAATCAAACTTCATGGCCGACGTGTATAGAGGCGTCTTGCACCCTGTGCACACGTATGTCCCCTTGGCATTGTGGTCATCCCAGCCCCCTTTCGCCACGGTTACTTTTCGAGGCTCCGTGGCTTTGCGCCGGAGAACCTTGAAGGCAGTGGGGCTCAGAATTTGCTTCCATTCCTCCTCGGTTTTCACTTTAGTTAAAGCCGGCTTCGCGGCCAAATTCGTGGCCGGGTCTTGTGCTTGTGTAGCAAACATGCGACTGAAAAGCATGGAAGGTACCGTCGTTGAACGGGATCGGGCACCTACTGCGGAAAAGCTAGCTGAACGCGTCCAGAATAGTTTTTTGGGTGCTCCTGACGAAACGAATCCACTCGCTCCACGAATGGAACAGGAGGCGAGCTGAACAATGCTGAGTGTCGCTATGGTTGAAAAAGAGAGGGAAAACCGCATGCTCTGTCATGATTCAAGAAAATATGGCGTGGAAGAAAATTAAATACGGATGAGACAACAGACGAAAGTCTCACAAGTCTCATTACTTGACCTGAGCACTTACAATAGGCCTTCATCATTAGACGTACGGATTACGATGTAGAAGGTACAGCCATTCATCCATATCTACTTATAAAGTCATATCACATGATTATCACTGCGAGATGTCTTGCGAATAATTGTAATTTTGGCAGGGGGGAAATTATTATGTCGGGCATGTACACGGAACAGTTGCTGTAGGTGGACTCCCTGGAAATGTCAGTACAGAGCTAATACTGCCAATAAAGATGACATGGCAGACAGGGGTCACTTGGCTGTGGGAAGTACGTGTCAGACGCTTTGACCCCGAGGGCTTAAGTCGAGAGGAGCGTCGAGGACACCTGCAAACCCCGGTACTCACCATGTCTTCGAGTTTCTGTACTCACATGAAATCCTCGTCGTCGTCGTCGTTGAGTCAGTTTCATACAGCGCACCCAAGTGAATCGGGATGGGATGCCCGTGGCGAGTGAGCGATCGATCTGGTTAGAGACCTCTTCCGTGTGCATTGCGTGCGTGAGAACATTGAGCGTACAAAGGTCTGAAGTCTTAAAGAAATGACAACATTCTGAACTGAAACCGATGCATATGTCCACCACAGAGGGTTACGAAAGAATGTTACGCATTGGATGCGTGACAGGTCGTAAGTGGGTACGGGAAGCTTGCGGGCTAGCGCTGCCTCGCACGCGGAGACCGTCCGTGCCCCCAGGGCGCCTCAAGCCTCCGTTCTCCGTCTCAGAAGCGAGCGACGAGGCATCGGTGCGCTCGTTCTCATCCAGCGTCAAGCGTACTCGCAAAAAGAGCCCGGGGCAAGTCCGATTGAAGAACGAACCATTGTGCCGCGTGGCGGCCGTGGTTGACTACGGCAACCCCATGCAAAATTTAGTCTTAGGAACTGGTGTATTGGCAACGCAGTGTGATGGCGCGGCCGTGGGGCGGCAGGGAGGTTGTTTAGTTCTGGGCACAGCGGTCAGTGACAGACAGGCGCCGGCAGGAGCTGGAGATGACTTCTTACCCTTGGTAGTGGAATATCGTGAGAAGGCACATGCATTCGGACGCATCAACAGGAGCGTTAATCGGCGTGAGGGAGCTCAGTCAGACCAAGAAATATTGGCCTCACGAGTTATAGATAGGGTGATACGCCCGCTCTTCCCCGAAGGCTTTATTTATGACACACAAGTTGTCACGACGGTTGAGTCTTCAGATCGTCAGAATGATCTAACAGTTTTGAGTGTCAACACTGCATCAGCGGCTCTGGCAGTCTCTAATATTCCATGGAATGGGCCCGTAGGTTGCGTCCGTGTAGGAATGACGCCAAGCGGTAAGCTTCTTATAAATCCAACTGAGGATGAGATGCAGGAATCTGACTTGAATTTGCTCTACGCGGGCAACGAGCAACGAACACTCATGATAGAGGCTGGAGGAAGCCAAGTGCCCGAGCTTGAAATGATTCGAGCCCTTAAATTTGCGCATTTTCATTGCGGCGCGATCATCAAGGCACAGCAACAGCTGGCTGTCCAGGTCGGGTCACCCAAGCGGGTGGTCCCGCCCATTTTGCCGTCCTCAGCCATGTGGGATCTCGCTCATGCTGTGGGTTATCAAAAAGCTGTGGACCTTTTTTCCGATACAAAACTCACAAAAAGCGATCGAAGCAGAGCCGAGGCTGTATTGCATGGGGAGATACGCACCGCCGTGAAGGAGGCATTTCCTGACTGTCATGACTTAGCCCCCGCCATTTGCTCTGATAAAATCCTTCGACATGGACTCCGAGATGCAGCCGTGAACAACCACAGCCGGTGCGATGGCAGAAAATTTATGGAGCTGCGACGTATATCATCGGCGGCAGACGTAATGCCTTCGGTCCACGGCTCTTCCATCTTCACCCGGGGAGACACCCAGGTTCTCTGTGCGGTAACTCTTGGCTCAGAAGACGACGCGATCAAAGCTCGGTACACGGATGACGACGAGGTCCCGGGGAAAAAGGCATTTCTGCACTACGACTTCCCGCCCTACAGCGTGAACGAGACTGGAAAGGTTTTCGGCAGCAATCGTCGCATGGTGGGGCATGGCGCACTGGCTGAGCGAGCGATTCTCCCCGTGCTCCCTTCGTCGGACGATTTCCCGTATACTATCCGCATTACAAGCGAGGTGACGGCCTCAAATGGCTCATCCTCAATGGCTTCGGCATGCGCAGCTTCCCTGGCACTCATGGACGCAGGTGTACCAGTCAAAGCCCCTGTGGCTGGCGTTTCCGTTGGGCTGCTCAGCCAACCGGAGGACGAGAGTGAGACTTTGACTGAAACAGGAAACAGTGACGATGAGGAGCTTTGCACGACTTCCTCTCAAACGAGGGAGGAATGCAACCTTGAAAAGGAAGAGAGTGTTCATGCGGAAGATCAGGACGGCCGACAGAAGGTCCCAGGAGGGAAGCGGGGAAAGGCGCAGCTCTTGGTGGACATCCTGGGCACCGAGGACCATTTCGGCGACATGGACTTCAAGGTGGCCGGGACTTTGGACGGCATCACAGCAATACAACTTGACATCAAGTTGGCAGGGGGGGTACCGCCTGGCATTCTTGTCGATGCCATTCACGTGGCAGCTCGGGCTCGAAGGCAGATACTGGGATTCATGGGGAAAACGATAACAGAGCCGAGGGCCAGACTCAAAGACTCAGCCCCTGGGATGGAGGTCGTAAAATACTCGTTTGATCAACACAAAGACATCTTCACTCTCGAAAATCGTCGCCTGGTGGAGGACGAATACAATGTCCGTCTTTCTTTTCCAGAACGAGGGAAGGTGACAGTGTTCGGCCGAGACCCCAAGAAAGTATTGGAAGCACATCGTCATGTACAAGAACTGGTAGCCGATATTCAGGAAGGAGAAGTCTATATGGCAACAGTAGTGGAAGTTAAGGATTTTGGTGCTGTTTTGGAGGTGCTGCGGGGCAAAGAAGGCTTGCTACACATGTCGGAGATTTCGCATCACAAGGGCAGTCGATCAACTGCAGAAATGCTTGCCGTAGGACAACAGGTGAAGGTGCAATGCGCAACCGTGGATCGCACCCGGGGTCTAATCAAGCTGTCCCGAAAGGCGCTACTAGATCCTGGAGAGCCCGACGATCTTCACCCCGATCTCAGTGCAGCCGGTGTGCTCCCCAAAGTGCCAGTGCCACCTGGTACATACTTTACACACATGGATATGCGCAAGGCTCGTATGCGCCGGGAGGCCGCTGTGTCCGAAGACAAAGAGAACTCTGGCCTCAAGAAGGACGTCAAAAAGAATGGTGACGTTACTAGGAAAAGAAGCCCTCGGAAGCCTATCAAGGACGACGACAAGCGCAGTTCTTTGTTAGTGTTGGATGGAGAAAGTTTACCGCGGAAAACAAGCTTAAGCGCATCGTCGGAAAATCAAGGTAAGACTCGTCAGAAGCGGGCCGTCCGGTCTAGGTCGAGTCGTAAAAAAGATGTGAATGTTATCAATGCTCCGGAGGACAGTGGTTCACCTGTCAAAGCGGAAGGAAATGGTACATTGGAAAATATGTCAAAAAGTATGCCATCGATTCCTGAAAGCTTGTCTTCAGAAGTAGAAGGCGTTCCGAGAAAGACTATATCTTCGACAGATTTAAAGTCAGAGGATCTGGCTTAAAAACAGTAGTGGCTACAATTTTGAACTTTATTTGTTGAATCGTCGCACATTAAATGAAAGAATAATAGAAAAACAGTATGCAGTAACTCTAAGTCACGAATAACAGATCTGCCCACACTTTGTCGTGGAGGAAAGGCATAACCTCCCGGCCTCCCGATGATAGTTTTTAGTATGTTTTTCCACGTCCTGAGAACGGAAGCTAGCCCCAAAATATCATGTTGGAGTCTCTTATTCCTTACTGGCTGATTTAGATACAGCAAGGCTGGGTTACCTTGCGGCAGGGCGCGTTGCCAACAAGCACGGTGCACCCTGGCGAGACTTGAAAATTCGAATGCGGCCTTTTCCCGGGCTATTCCCGGTTCCCGCCTTCCCAGCCCATGTTCCTGACCGATTCCCGCCCAATTCCTGCCCTCAGAGGCAAGCCCGAGTCATGTTTCCCTTGCGCAAACGACGACCACAAATGCGACAAGATGCTCTCAGCTAACAATATTCATGCTATCATGCGTGCTCGGGTGAGCAGTAGGCAGGCATCTCACCCCCCCTGCTCGTTCCCTCTTACATTTTCTACCTGCAGCGAAGTGGAGGCTCTGTGAAGACGAATGGCGCTTGTTAACTTGACAAACATCGTGGTGCTGGATAACCCGACCAGTTTTACAAATCCCTTCACATTTGAAGTTACATTCGAGTGCGTGCAAGAGCTGGAGGATGGTAAGAAGTGCTTATACGTTCATCGATTTTTGCCGGCTACTGTTTCACGCCGATTTATCTAGTCCTCTTGTCTACTTTGGCTGCATTGCCGGTATTTTGGTACTTTGCGCACCGTGACCTCTTCTTGTCAACTTTGGTACCGCGATACATTCTCGGACAGTATTCGCTCGCTCTTTGTACGTCACGTTGTTTTTGATATGCATCCTCCATCTTCCTTCGTTACCGTAGATTTGGAGTGGAAGGTACTGTACGTATCGTCGGCCGAAAATGCCGACCAGGACCAAGTCTTGGAAGAAGTGATGGTGGGACCCGTACCTGTAGGGGTGAACAAGTTCGTGTTGCAGTCGGCAGCCCCGGACGTGTCCCAGATCCCCGAGGAGGACATCATTGGCGTCACCGTCATCCTCATCACCTGCACCTACCGCGAGCAGGAGTTCGTGCGCGTAGGATACTATGTAAACAATGAGTACGCCGAGCCATTTGACCCTGATCATCCACCCCGGCCCGTAGATCTTCTCAAGCTCGTGCGGAATATCTTGGCGGACAAGCCCCGCGTCACGCGGTTCCCAATCGATTGGGGCATGGGCATGGGCGTCGAGGGCGGTCAACAACAGCAGGTGACCGAGGAAGAGGCAGCTGCAGAAGGTGTGGTAGATTTCGATGCTCTTGATCAGCAACAGGATGGCGAAGAGGAGGAGGGGGAGGAGGAGGAGGAGGAGGAGGAGGAAGCAGAGGACGATCGTGAGTTGGAGGGAGGAGAGGAAAGCGAGGAAGGGAGTGTGGTGCAGGGGGATGATGCCATGGCAATGGAACTGTCATCACCTGTACCGAGAGCACAAATGCGCGAAGGAACAGTATGACGAGGCCTCAATGAGCGGAGAGCTCTCGTCTGCGGGGCGTCCGAGATGGGCGATGTGTCGAGTCGGAGGGACAGGGTATGCGGATAGATGTACAGGCAAGTAATGCTCGACTCAGGGAGCCGGAAGGAAGCAATGACATGAAAAAAAAAACAGGCGAGCATGGATGAAATCAAGACGCGGGCGACAGTGGGCGCAAAAGCAACGACAAGAAGTATGAGTCGAAAGCGAAATCTTGTCCCCTGCCTGCCCGTCGGGCCGCCGACCTCTCTGTTTTCCTTTCTTCCACCCGCTCGTCTCTCTATTTTCACATGTATGTGCGGTTTGTCCTCCAGTACAAGGAAAATATGGATGCGCGCGTTCCCCTGTCCTTTTCTGCTAATGTGCCAAGACTCGTCGTCTCCCCACTAGAAGGCCTGGAAGTCAGCCATAAAGAGCCGCAGCTTCTCTCGCACCACTCCTTGCAACCCGGTTCTTGAAGACTTCACAAATTCGTCGATTAGTGAGCGCGCCTCTGGCGGTGTGAGTTGATCCACCTCCAAGAGGGTGTCGTACTCGTCGTCGTTGTCGGGAGTTACATCCGGATACCTGAGTGTCCCCTTAGCCTTTGCACCGCCCGCAAGTCCAGCCTCCCACTCCAACGTGAAGACAAAGTCGTATAGGTACTTCTTCTTGCCTCTTACAAAGGTCACGGCCGCATCCCCCTCCAAGCCCGTTACCTTCTTAACTTCAATTACAGCGCCTTCCTCGAGGCCTGCGCCGACGTGTCTGGCTGGGATAGGAAATCTGCACTCTCCGAGCAGCTCCTGTAGACGACCCTTCGCCCAGTCCGTCATGTTCCGCTCTTCGAAAGTGCCAGCATAGTTCCATGCCGAGCCCGCTGTCCCCTCCGTTCCTCGATTCCCAGTGCCAACGGGCGCCTCTATCTTTTTGGGCGCGATGTCACCTATCAGGCGCTTCGCATCCTCGGAGAGCACGTTGTTG